AGGGGAAAGTTAACTAGGCTTCACTCTGCTCCTGTACTCTTCAAGTGTGATTCTTATTTTCTTTTTTCTCTTCTTTTTTTCTTCTTCTTAGCTTACATTAGTTATATAGGGAGGGATTTCATTGTTATATTTCCACACATATACGGTGTTTTCCAGTTCATCTCACACACACCCCTGTCATTCTTCTTGTCCTTTTCTTCTTCCCTTTCTCCTTCTGTTTCTCCCTCCCTCCTTCCCTCTTTGTTTATTTTATTATTATTGGTTGTGGGGCTTGAACTCAGGGCTTGGGCACTGTCCCTGAGATTTTTAACTCAAGGCTAGTGCTCTACCACTTTTGAGCCCAGTGCCACTTCTGGTTTTCTGGCAGTTCACTAAAGATAAGAGTCTTAGGGATTTTCATGCGTGGGCTGACTTTGAACCACCATCATCAGATTTCAGCCTCCTGAGTAGCTAGGATTACAGGTGTGAAACATCGCCCTGACTTACTTGCCTGCCTTCCTTCCTTCCTTCCTTCCTTCCTTCCTTCCTTCCTTCCTTCCTTCCTTCCTTCCTTCCTTCCTTCCTTCCTATCTACTTTCCTTTTTTGTGTTCTTCCTGGGGCTTGAACTCAGGGCCTTGAGCTTTTGTGCACAAGGCTAGTGCTCTACAACTTGAGGACATGAGGACAGCTTTACTTCTGGCTTTTTGCTGGTTAATTGCGGGTAAGAGTCTCACAGACTTTCCTGCCTGGGCTGGCTTCGAACCACAATCCTCAGATCTCAGCCTCCTGATTAGCTAGGATGAGAGGCGTGAGCCACTGGTTTCTGGCTACCTTTTTCTTTTCCTTTTTTTTGGGGGGTCAGTTGTGGGGCTTGCTAAGGGCCTGTGTTCCAGAGCCTTTTTGTGCTCCAGGTTAGTGTTCCACCACTTGAGCCACAGCACCACTTCCAGTTTTTGAGTGGATAATTGGAGATAAGAGTCCCATGGGGACTTTGCTACTTGGGCTAGATTTGAACCATGATCCTCAGATCTCAGCCCCTGAGTAGCTTGGATTACAGGCATGAGCCATCAGCACCAGGCTTCCTTTTCTATTTATAAAGGCTCTTTCTTTCTTTACCTCCAGATAACTACCCCTCATTCTAAGGGCATGAGGCCGAGAGTTCTCACAAGCAGCCATGAGTCAGGGCAACCTTCACTCTTTGTTGTGACCAGTAACATGAACACTGTTCCCACATGTTCTTTCTCCTTGGTCCAGGAATGCACTGAGCGCCTGCGTCAGCAGGCAGCTGCCATGAGACAAAGCCCTAGGGGTGTTGTTAGCTGGCAGAGTCATACAGATGCTTTGGAAACTGCTTCTTCCTCTTTCCTCCTCAGGCCTCTCCCTTCCCCCCTCCCTCTCTCCCAGACCTGTGTTTTTCTGACCCGGGGGTTTCTGGTACGTTCTGACCAGGTTTCTTGATCTCTAGGTTCCTGTGATTATGAATGTTGGTTTTTCCAAGATGCCAGGGATGCGTTGTACACAAGGTGGTCCAAGACAGGCCAGGAGGACACGATGTATGGGGGCAGGGGACAAATGCAGGCCCTTCTCTTCTCGTTCTTCCCGGCTGTTCCGAGTGAGTCAGAATGCTGGGCAAGTCCCTGGTGGACGAGACGCTCAGTGTGGCAGAGCCACAGAACAATGCTCGGAACACTGCAGACTTTCTTCCTGATACAGCCATCTGGCTTGCAGGAGTAGAAAGGTGAGGCGGCCCAAGGGACTCTGTCCCACGTGTTCTTGCCGTGGGGTGCCTGTCTCATTGTTCCAGGAACCGACTTCCCTCTGTTCCTCCGTTGTCATTAGTGCCCTTCAGGTTGTGCACCTAATGCTGGCCTGTGCTTGGAAGCAGGCGTGCTGCGGCCTTCAGAAGCTGGGACCAAACGTGTTCATTTGGAAGTGTTTTCACAGAGTTGGAGTGGTTCTTAAGGAGGCACACACCTCCTGTGAGATTTCGTTTGGAAATGCGCTGTGGTGGTTAGCAGCTCTTAGGGGATGTTTACCGCAAAGTAGGCCACATGGAAGGGAATGTCAGCCCCTGCAGCAGAATTCTTTGGCCAAAGGTGATGTGCCAGGGGGCGGGTACATGGGAAGCAGGGGAATAGCTGTGACCAGGAGAGGCTTTTAGAGATACGTGGTTCGCATTCAGCGAGAATATCATGGTTTTGAGTGCTCTGAATCTTGGCAAGAAGTAGACAATGGCTGTTGATTCCAAACAGAGAAAAGTCATTTTACCCCTCGGCAAGAAGCAGATCAGACCTGCTGTGTTCAAAGCTTGCCACACATTTAATTGTGACCCTGGAGGAGGTAAGGTTGGTTGTGAACACAGGTGGTGGGTAGGAGCCGGGGTTGTACTGTGTTGCCTGTTCCCAGAAGGGTAAGTAACAGCTGTGGTGATCCCACACCAGAGGGAAGAGGCAGCCCCACCGTCCTGCCCTGCCCCTTCACCCCTGCGCCCAGGCCTCTGCCCCCGTGCCCCTCCTCCCCACGCACCCCACCCCAGGTGGCAGCACTGCCTGGGACCTTTATTTCCAATCCCTGGTTGTTGTCTGCCATTCTTTCTTCTGCCTCTCTAAACACATCTGGATTTTTCCTCTCCTACAAGCCATCTTTGACAAGCCAGCTTTTCTAAGATAAGCCTTAGCATGAAAGAAGAAGGTGCTGTTTTTGTTTTTTGTTAAAGGGCTTTAAATTATTTTGCTGGTTCTTTCTACCAGAGGTAAAACCTTATTTAGGGGAAGCTAAAAGTCAGTTCTAGTTAATTCCTTTATTTTATTCTTGTTTCTATTTGCTGTGCTGGAACCTAATGTGCACATGCTAAGCAAATGTTCTGCCACTGGGCTGCATGTACTTAAGATTCCTAGTTGCTTTTCCTACTGGACTCTTGGACACATGGATGTTGGAAGGAGCTATATTTATTAGCAGTGCACATTTTAATATACAGAGCTAGGAAAGGTTGTTGAGTACTAGAAGAGGCCTAGCTGTTGATAGGGAAAACACCAGGGAAGCTCAGATCCCGTATTTACTACTTTCCCATGAAATTTAAAACGTATCTCCAGCTGATTTGGCTTAGTCAGCTGCGACAGTGAGATGTAGAGAAAAGCAGAATGTTACTTTTTCATAGTGGGCAATTCTTTCTCACATGCAAACCCTGGGCCTAGTCCGTGTCTTTGTGAAACTGGGTGCCTATCCTTTGAGAGCCGATTTCATAGGCACTTGCGGCTTAAACCATCAGGTTTAAGTCACTTCACGGTTGTTTTTTATAGTGTTTGATTCTCTCCTAGTCTTCATTTAGCTAGCCATTTAGTAAAACATTTTACCATTTAGTAAAAATTTTGCATGGTGCCTTTATCTTCCTCTTCTACATGTAGGATTCTTTATCTACTGCAGTGCTGGCTTGGTGGACCTGAATTCCTGTAGTCTGCATTTATTTTGTTTTTCCTTCAATTATGAAAGTTAGCTTTGTTAGATGCAGTAATATAGGCTAGGTAGTAATTTTCTTTCAAGGCTTGAAATACATCGTTCCATATTCTCCTTGGTCTTAAGTTTCTACAGTTATTCTGATAGGTTTGCCTTTGTATATGACTTGGCACATCTCTTCTAATGTTCAATATTCTTTCTTCATTTTGTGCACTTAATGATACTTTTTTTTTTTTTGCGGGGGGCGAGGGGGAGGGTCTGGTCATGGGGCCTGTACTCTGGGCCTGGGTGCTGTCCCTCAGCTCTTTAGCTCAAGGTTAGCGCGCTACTACTTGAGCCACAGCGCCACTTCCAGGTTTTTTTTTTTTCTGCCTATGTGGTGCTGAGGAATCAAACCCAGGGCCTCATACATGCAAGGCAAGTGCTCTACCACTGAGCCACCTTCCCAGCCTTAATGATACCTTTAAGGGTGTTGTTGTTGTTGTTGTTGTTGTTTTGTCAGTATTGGGACCTGAACTGAGGGTCTGGTTGTTGCCCCTGAGCTCTTTCTCTCAAGGCTAGTGGTGCTCTCACCACTTTGAGCCACAGCACCACTTCCAGTTTCCCAGTGGTTAATTGGAGATAAGAGTCTCGTGGGCTTTGCTGCCCAGGGTTGACTTTGAACTGAGATCCTCAGATCTCAGCCTCCTCCTGAGTAGCTAGGATTATAGGTGTGAGCCACCAGCACCCAACACTCTTAATGTTTTAATGATAATATGATATGAGGAGGTTCCTTCTGGTCTTCTCTGTTTGGTGCTCTAAAACTGCTTCTGTTTTCAACCCATTGGCTGTCTGTCACGACTTCCCAGTAGTCTGAACTGGAAAGGTAGAAATCATTCTTGCCTCTTTGATCTGTAAGAGTCCCTGGTTTTGTTTTGTTTTGTTTTTTTGGGGGGGTCCGGTCATGGGGCCTGAACTCTGGGTCTGGGCACTGTTCCTCAGCTCTTCAGCTCAAAGCAGCTAGTAAGTACTCTACCACTTGAACCACAGCGCCACTTCCGGCTTTTTTTTCCCCTGCTTATGTGGTGCTGAGGAATCGATCCCAGGGCCTCAAGCATGCAAGGCAAGCGCTCTACCTCTGAGCCACCTTCCCATTCAGAGTCCCTGGTTTTACTTCCCAAGCACATCCTGCACTTTTTCCTTCCTTATGTTCCAGAAAGCCTGGCGGCCTCCTTGGAGGTTCATCTTCAGTGTGTGTGTGGGAGACCGCATCTCCCTACCCTATGGTTTAGGTACTCTTGCGCCTCTTTCTAGTGGCACTTAGAATGACACTAGAAAGTGTATAGTATTCTATAGAACATTCTGTAGTATCCCATAGTATTCTGTTCATGTGTCTTTCTCATCCACTAGACTGTTAAGATCCCTGAAAGCAGGGCTGTTACTCCTCTTGCATGCCTGCAATGTGCCTGGGAAGCCTCACTGCACATTGGCTGGGTGCGTGCATGTTACCACTTGGGAACTCTGCTTTGGAGAAGGGTATGTAGACACAGAAGTATTGACCATTCTTTCTCTTCCTTCTCTTTATTAGATTAAGGTGACAGTGTCTGGTGGATCAGCAGCCCTCCCGTTGCCCCTCTCGGGGTGCTGATTGTCGAGAGCATGGAGGAGAACAAGCACGAGGTGATGAACCAAGCTCATGTCCTTTTCGACCGATTTGTCCAGGCCACCACCTGTAAGGGAACCCTCAGGGCCTTCCAGGAACTCTGTGACCACCTGGAACTGAAGCCTAAGGACTACCGCTCCTTCTACCACAAGCTGAAGTCCAAGCTCAACTACTGGAAGGCCAAAGCCCTCTGGACCAAGTTGGACAAACGGGGCAGTCACAAAGACTACAGAAAGGGAAAAGCATGTGCTAACACCAAGGTGAGGGCCTGTCTGCTCTTGGCCCTGGGGTCACTGGCACAAGCATTTAACCTGTGCCAACGAGAAGGATTGAGAGAGGTGGACAAGGCGAGAACCAGGCAGTCTGTTCTCAGCCTAATCAAAGAAGTTAAGTTTAGGTTAAAACTTTACAGATCTGCTACTCATGTTTGATTTCACTGTTCCATGTGTCACTCCCTATTCTGAGCCTATTTCTTGCGTTTATGTATCGATATACAAAGTCTCAACTGTTTAAAAATAACCCTAGGTCAAATATATAGAAACTTTTTGTCGATCATGGGTCTTGAACTCTGGGCTTGGCCCTGTCCCTCAGCTCTTCAGCTCAAGGCTAGCATTCTACCACTTCACCCACAGCACCACTTTACATTTTCTGGTGGTTTATTGGAGATAAGAGTCTCACGGACTTTCCTGCCTGGGCTGGGTTTGAACTGTGATCCTCAGATCTCAGCCACCTGAGTAGCTAGGATTATAGGCGTGAGCCACCAGCGCCCGGCTCTATAGAAACTTTTTAAATATTTATTTGGAAGGAAGGAAGTCACTGAACTACCATGGAAAGGACGTAAGTCACTGAGCTAGGCCCCTTAGCACGCCATCTGACACAGGAATGATGTAAGGCACTGAAGTAGGCCCCTTAACACCGCATCTGGACATAGGAAGGACATAAGCCGCTTAGCTGGGCATCCTAGCTAAAGATTCCAAGGGATCCCTTGGCATCCCATCTGAACATGGCTCCTGGGATTTGTATGTCATCTTTACCAAGTCCTCAGTCCATACTCAGCACCTGGCCAGGAATTTCCACATGTTTCAGACTATCCTGTTCATATTCCAAACGTCTATGTTTGTGAGTTGCACTACTTCTCCTGCCTTTACAGTATACAGAAGTAAGATTTCCGTGAAGCAGGTTGGCTTGGACAGAGACTTGAGGTGTGCATTCACTTGTGTGGAGCAGGCGTGAGGAAGTGGGGAAGGAAAGAGACGTTTCCTGCCTCCTTCCTTGTGAGAACATGTTCTCTGAGGTATTTGGGAACAGTTAGCCGGGAAACAAATTTGCAAATGACGTCAGTTTATGTTATTTTGGCCTTTCATGAGCTTTAATTTGTCCTGTATGGATGTGTGAATGCCTGAAGACCCACCCTGGTCAAAAAGTTTGAAGGTATGACTTCCATGAGCGATTACTAGACTTCAGTAAGAATGAAGGAAGGGGCCAGAGAGGGTGGAAGTTTAATGGTAGGATGCTTGTCTGGCATGCCTGAGACCTAGGATTCTATCCTCAGCACCAACATCGAACAAACAAAAATAGATAAAGGAAGATAAAGAAAAGGAGCGCAAAGCCATGTTCTCTTTCTGCGCACGCTAGTCTCACCTCACCCCAGTCCTTCGCTAGAGTGTGGATTTTCAAGAGCATTTCCGTGACTTTCACCCTGGAAATAACAACTTTACCACTCATTTCACCACATGAAACTTCGGATCTTTAGAGTTGCCTCCTGGAAGTTGTTTGTGTGGTAAAGCCAATCTGGATTCAAAGATTGCTTTGACCATATATTTAATAATCTGTAAAATGCTAAACTTAGAAAGATATGAGAAGGTCCTCTCCTGCTAATCAAAGCTTAAAAGTGAATTTTTCATCTGGGTGCTGGTGGCTCACGCCTGTAATCCTATTTCTCAGGAGGCTGAGATCTGAGGATCAGGGTTCAAAGCCAGCCCAGGCAGGAAAGTCCATGAGACTTCTATCTGCAATAAATCTCCAGGAAAACCAGAAGTGGCGGTGTGGCTCAAGTGGTAGAGCACTCACCTTAAGCTGAAGAGCTGAGGGACCGTACCCAGGCCCATATTTCAAGCCCCACAACCAACAACAACAACAACAAAAAGTGAATTTTTCTTTCATATATATAATTTGTTCAAATGGCTACCCATTTAAATCTATTGCAGATCTCTGAGCTTTCCAGGTTACCACTGTACACAGGTGCTGGGCTTATGCCTTGTGCTAACAGTTCAGTTTTCTTCACCCACAGAGTTATGAGCTCCCTCAAGCCATCACAAGTATTGTTACTCAGATGGGCCTGAACATTTCTTGGGGGAGAATAGCCTGAGTGGAGGGTTTTCACAAACCTGGCTCTGATGTCATGTAACTACTCTAGAAGTGTAAGAGGTACAGTCTTTGCTCTAAAAGTTGCTGTGTTTTTCAGTGTCTCATCATTGGTGCTGGTCCCTGTGGTCTGCGCACAGCCATCGACTTGTCCTTGTTGGGAGCCAAGGTGGTGGTTATTGAGAAGCGAGATGCTTTTTCCCGCAACAATGTCTTACATCTCTGGCCCTTCACCATACATGATCTGCGAGGTCTGGGTGCCAAGAAATTCTATGGCAAGTTCTGTGCTGGAGCCATTGACCATATCAGTGAGTAACACCGGCGCTCTTGTAGGGTTCCACCCTTGCCCTGCCTGCATGCTCAGTAGACTTCAGACAGGTAGGGTACCTCAGGAATTCCTACTCAGCAGCCTGGTCTATTCTGATCCTATTGGTATCTGTTACGTAATTCACAGTCAGAAGACCTGCCACCAGTGGTTCTGTAACTAAGATCTCAACTACAAGTATCCCCTAGGCAAGGAGAAGTTTTGGCTTAGCCAAAAGTTGTCTCATCTCATCTTGGTCTGAGCACTTGTGGTGTGGGGGATAGGTAGGAGGCAGGTGTGGAGAATCAGGTAGCCAGTTTGGTTCTTAGTTCAAGGAGAGAAGTGCACAGGCAATTACCTGTCTTCTGTGTGATCTTCCAAATGCTCTGCTAGTATAAGAACTGAGTGCCAAGGGAACACAAGCTAGGAAGCCACACCTAGAGAAGCAGAGTCCTAGATGAGTTGTGAGTGGGAAATTGATACTGGATCCCTTTGGTTTTTGTTTTGTTTTGTTCTGTTTTGTTTCTGGTTGGTTGTGGGGCTTGAACTCTGGGCCTGGATGCTCTTGAGCCACAGAGCCACTTCTAGTTTCCTGGTGGTTAATTGGAAATAAGAGTCTTACAGACTCTCCTGCCTGGGTTGGCTTTGAACTGCGATCCACAGATCTCAGCCTCCTGAATAGCTAGGATTACAGGTGTGAGCCACTGGTGCCTGGCAAGGATCCCTTTGTTTAGACAGCTCTTCTAGTCTGTTACCACTTGCAAACCTGTTTGAGATCTGTTACTTTTCTTTTTTTTCTTTTTGGTCGGTCATGGGGCTTGAACTCTGGGCCTGGGCCCTGTCCCTCAGCTCTTCAGCTCAAGGCGAAAGCTCTACCACTTGAGCTACAGCGCCACTTCTGGTTTTCTGGTGGTTTATTGGAGTTAAGGGTCTCACAGTCTTTCCTGCCCAGGCTGGATTTGAACCGAGATCCTCAGATCTCAGCCTCCTGAGTAGCTAGGATTACAGGCTTGAGCCACCAGCGCCTGGCGGATCTGTTACTTTTCTGAGATGATTTTTTTTAAATGACTGTAAGTGGTCTGTCTGAAAACCAGTTCACAGTAGCATCTACATTCTTAAGTTGTAGGGTGTGTGTGTGTGTGTGTGTGTGTGTGTGTGTGTGTCTGGGGTTTGAACTCAGGGTTTGGGCGCTGTCTGAGTTGTTCTCTCAAAGCACTCTAACACTTGAGCCACAGCGCCACTTCTGGCCTTTTCCAAGTAGTGTATGGAGATAAGCGTCCCATGGACTTTCCAGCCCAGACTGGCTTCCAACTGTGATCCTCAAATCTCAGCCTTTTGGGTAGCTAGGATAACAGGCATGAGCTACCAGCGCCCAGCTTGTTGCCGTCTTTTTGAAAGTTGATTATTATTAATGATCCCAGGGAAGCTTTATCGAAGAACCCTCATTCTGAGCTATTCTACCTCTAGATGTGTCCTTTGAATGTAGTCAGCTCCTGGACTGTTTGCTGTCTGAAGTGGTTATGCCAGTTATTCAAAGTGCTGGTGGACAGTTGGCACGCTTCCCTGGCAGAAGAGGCTCTCTGCTCATATGCCAGGCTGTAATTTGTAATGTGTCTTGGAACCCACAGTTACCTGCAGAAAGAGAATGTGTGCTAGCACAGGATCCCATGTGTCTTTAGGAACGTGTCTCAGAAGGGAGGGTGATGCATGGTAAACTGAGGAAAATAACTGGGAGGACTTAGTGGGTTTTCATCTGTCCCTTGCAGATTAGTCATGGACTGCTGGTCAGTTGGCCTGTCACAGAGCCCAGGGGTCATTGTCTAAGTTTATCTCCCTTGGAGGTGGCAGGATTAATTTGGGGGGCTAAGCATCTTACCTCAGGAACCAGATTTCTGTTTCTGTGTACCTGGTTTTGGTGTCAGATCTGGCACTGATAGGAACTCACTGGACATCTAATAATGGTATTAACCTATAGTAATGAATGAGATTGGACCTCATTTTTTACACAGCAGAGTCGTGGTGGAGAGGGTGTTAAGAGGATAGGATTGGATTCTGATCTCCCTTATGTACCTGGTCAGAGTGTATGATGGTTGGTGGTGGAGTAAGGTGAGAAGCAGTCACCAGGAGCATGTTTGGAAGCCACTTGGCATGTGTCCTCTGGTGGGAGCCATGCTGTAGTCCAGAGGAAGGCAGCTCTGCTGTAGTGATGGCTCTGAATCAGGGGGAAATAGAAGACAGTCTCCAGTTGACTGCTGTGTTGTCTCTAAGCTTTGTTCCAAATTCCCAACCCAAGAGATGGAAGTGGCCCTGCAAGTGCCTAAGAATGTCTCTTCTACCTATTTGTATTTATCCTTAGAAAGGGAGCAGAGGCTAGTGAATGTGGCTTGGAACGTGTCTCCTGGTATAAACACCTTTGAGAACTTGATCAGACGTGTATGCCAGTGGCTGGGAGTCTGAGGAGCTAGTGCTGTGGGTCTCCTCTCCATGTGCTCTCACCAGCATAGTTTCTGTATTTACCCAGGTATCCGTCAGCTCCAGCTGATACTGTTGAAAGTAGCCTTGATCCTAGGTATCGAAATCCATGTCAATGTGGAATTCCAAGGACTTGTACAGCCTCCTGAGGACCAAGAGAATGAACGTAAGTTGGATAGAGCAAATGAAGATGGCTTAGAAGGCACTGAGTGGGGGCAAACAGATGCGACCAAGGGAGAAAAGCAGAAGCACTTGCAGGTATTTACAGAACTAGTGAAGGGGCTTCATCCGTGCAGCTTATACCTTTGAGGACTTTGGACTTCGTGAGGAGGCCTTTGAGCAGTAGTAGACATTAAAGACATTTGTGATATAGAAAACCAGGAGGTGGAGAAAGTGCCTTGGTGAACTCATCAAAGCTGTTTTCCGTCTAAGCAACTGTCCTCCATTCTTGTTTTTTGTTTTGTTTTGTTTTGTTTTTTGGGTCCAGTCATGGAGCCTGAACTCTGGGCCTGGGCGCTGTCCCTCAGCTCTTCAGCTCAAGGCTAGTGCTCTACCACTTGAGCCACAGCGCCACTTCCAGCTTTTTTTTTTTCTGCTTATGTAGTGCTGAGGAATCGAACCCAGGGCCTCATGCTTGCAAGGCAAGCGCTCTACCACTGAGCCACCTTTCCAGCCCCTCCATTCTTGTTTTGATTTGGGATTTTGTGCAATATCATTGCCTAGATATCTAGAACTGTTTTGGAAGTGCAAATTTGGTCAAGATAATGATCTTTACTTTGCCTTTTGTCCACAGGGATAGGTTGGCGGGCACTGGTACACCCCAAAACTCATCCTGTATCAGAATATGAGTTTGAAGTGATCATCGGTGGGGATGGCCGGAGGAACACGTTGGAAGGTACTGGCCTTGTTCCTTTGGTTGGCTCATAGAAGAATAGAGGCCAGTCCTGCCCCCAGAAGTGTCAACCCTTAAGAATTTGCACGTGTTGATTTTAATCGAGTGATACTTCATCCTTCCTCTGGCACCTTCTGAGGGAACTTCTTGAGTACCGGGAGATGTGCTATACTTTGAGAGGTTGACACTGCAGGATTTAACCAACATTAATAAACCAGCTCCCCCTCTTTTTAAATGGGATCCCCAGTACTAGGTGATATTTTGGTCAGGTAGATTTCAAATAGTTCGTTAATGATTCAGGAGACATTCACTTCATTCCTGATCTGATAAAATTCTTTGGTAGGTGAACGAGCTTATCTACCCTAAAATTGTTCTATTGATTCTCACCCCCCACATTCCTTAATCTCTTCTTCAACATCCCCAGCTTCATTTGAAGATCATCTTTCTACAGCCAACTGTTGCTACCTCTGAAAAGTTCTCTCCCTACAGGATTTCGTCGGAAAGAATTCCGTGGCAAACTGGCCATTGCCATTACAGCAAATTTTATTAACCGGAATACAACTGCAGAAGCCAAAGTGGAGGAGATCAGTGGTGTGGCTTTTATATTCAACCAGAAATTTTTTCAAGAACTGAGAGAAGCCACAGGTTGGTGCCTCCACAGGAGTAAGGACAGGAAAACCAGGCACGGGCCTTCCTGAGGGCGGCTGGGTGGGCTCTTGATGTCTCTGGGTCTGACTTCAGCCTGTGATATGGCAGTGACTCTGCTGTTGCCTTCCGCTCTCTCATCACCTCCTCCTTTGCTCTTTGTGTTCTGGTCCCACATGCTCTTACGTTCTCAGTCACCCACCTGGCCTGCTCTGGGCTTTGTTTATATTGATTTATTGGTTTAAGAAATTGCTTTTCTGCCTTCTACCACCTCCTCTACAGCCTTTGCCTCTGTACCTGGGGTGAAGCCATGGTGCTGGATAGAGCAAGCCTCCAGGTAGCAGTAGTCTGGTTTTACTGAGGATCTGACATTAGTTTTTAAGGATGTAACCATCTGCCAGGTGCACTGGCTTAGGCCTATACAGTAATGCCAGCTACTTGGAAGTGGAGATAATGAGGTCATAATTTTGGTCCAGGTGAAAACTTTGAAAACCTATCTCAAGAAAAAAGCTATACGTGGTAGTTTAATCCGAGCTGTGTAGGAACCAGAGGTAGGAGGATTGTGATCTGAGGCTGGCCTGGGCAAAAAGCACAAGTCCCTGCTTGGAAAACAATGAAGGCAAAAAGATGGGGTGAGGGGAGGGTGGGGTGTGACTGGAGAAGTAGAATGCTTACCTAGTAACCACACTGCCCCCCGCCCCCCGCAAAAAGAATGTGTGCTTGCTCAAAAGCAAAGCACATGCTAGATAGAGATGTGCTTGTTGTTTGGTAGATTTGAATAGATTAACTTCATTTATTTGTTTGTTTGCTTGCTTTTTGGTCTGAAACTGGGACTCAAATTTAGCATTTGACTCTTTTGCTCAGAGCACTATCAACTAAGCCTTGCCTCCAACCCCTAGCTTAGTATTTTGATACAACTAAGTATCAGTCTTCTAGAACTTCCTTTCTTTCCATTTTATTTATTTATTTATTTATTTTTGCCAGTCATGGGGCTTGAACTAAGGGCCTGAGCACTGTCTCTGAGCTTCTTTTGCTAAAGGCTAGCACTCTACTATTTGAACCACAGTGCCACTTCCAGCCTTTTCTGTGTATGTGGTATGAGGAATCGAACCCAGGGATTCATGCATGCTAGGCAAGCACTCTACCACTAAGCCACATTCTCAATCCTGCATTTATTTTTGATTAACTGAATTAAACAGTAGTTTACTCAGCTTTCAAGCATCTGTTCTGTACTTGAGTCTAGGAGACCAGGCACCAGTGGCTTACGCCTGTCAGCTACTCAAGAGGCTGAGATCTGAGGATCGTGGTTTGAAGCCAGTCCTGGCAATACCTCTGAGAGACTTTTCAACCAGCAAAAAGCTGGAGAAATGTTGCTTAAATGGTAGAGTGCCATTCTTGAGCAAAAAAGCTAAAGAGTTCAAGTCGGGTACTAGCATGGGCATGCATGTGTGTGTGCGCACACTCATACATAGGAGTTTAGGGGATTCCTCCTTGGTCACTGTCAAAGAGATTTAACCCATTAACTCATCCATATCATCTTGTAAAGGTTGAATTCTTTTTCTTGTGTTTTTGTTTGGTTTTCTTATTCCATACTGGGGTTTGAGCTCAAGACTTCTTCTGCTTCCTAGATTGGTGTTCTACCCATAAGCCATATCTCCAGTCTGGTTTTTTTCCCCCATTCTTATAAACATTTTTTTCTCATTGTTTTTAGGGTTACCAAAGGTGCTAAGTCAGTTATAGAGTAAGACCAAGGGAAACAAAGCCCTCCTCATGAACTGAACACATAGGAAATCAGAATCCAGGCCTGGACATCTTTCCTGCCTGGAGTTTTCCAGTCCTGGCTCCTAGATCAAAGCATAATCTTTCTGTCTGCCATAATGCTCTAAGTTCAGAAACTCTTACAGTACTTTTTTTTGTCACAGGTATTGATTTGGAGAACATCGTCTACTATAAAGATGATACGCACTATTTCGTTATGACAGCCAAAAAGCAGAGTTTACTGGACAAAGGGGTGATACTGCATGTGAGCAATAGATTTCTTTCAAACCACTTTCTGTTGAACTGCTTAATATGATCACCAAGAGAAGGAGTTTTATGATCTGATGGAGGTTTTTTTTTCCCTCAAGAGAAAGAAAATGAGTGCTGAACACATCTCCTGGAAGCCCCTGTGGCTTATAATTTTAAAAGTCTTTATTAGGATTGAAACTATAACTAGAAGTAGAGTGTAGAGTATTATGAACTCATGTGCCCATCACCTGGCTTTAACAGTTATTACCATGAATGAAACGACAATCTACTCATTTCCCCTACTGTTGGAGTGTTTGAGAGTATTTTTCAGATGTCTTGCCATACATCATGTCCAGCTTGATTTTAGGTGACTTGCTGGTGGTTGTAGTTAGTTACATATGACTAGTTAATGATTGGACCAATAAGCAAGGCTTGGTGTTATGACAGCCTTATGACAACTCTTAAGTTAACTGGTGATATGGTTATTAAAGATCTAGGCAATACTGATTGGGTTAGGGCCTGTTTAGGCCTCCTCTTGATTGAACAAGTGCCCACTATTGATCTTCAGCCAGGTTCAACCTCCCTTTTACCTTTGTAACTAATTTGTATGTGGTATCTGAGTTGATGATGTGAAATTTGAGACTTAGGGAGAGCTGTTGAAGTCTTACTTAATCTCCTGGTAGTAATGTTAGCATTACTGTTCCGATGTAATGAGACAGGTGGAAGCAGAGAAGTCTCAGATAGGCCAATCTGGGCCTGTAGTTCCCACCAGGCTTGCGGCCTTATCTCAGGGAGGGAGCCCTTTGTCTCTGCAAGATGATAATGCTTCAGGTCCCTCTGGTATGAGTCACGCTATTGCCTTATCTGAGTAGAGTGGGGAGTGAGCTGATGAGCACGTGCCTGCAGTACAGAGTGTGCTTTCCACCCATGAACCTTGTGTCTTTCTCAGCATAGTGGTTCTGTATGTGTTCAGGGAGCAACAGGACAAAGCAGCTTGTACAGCCCATTCTGCCCAAAACAAAGACCAGATGTGTTTGGCTAGATGCTTTATATAGTGGGTTTGTTCATTATCTGGGGCTGTTTTATTGCTTTCAGTAAAACAATTGGGATGCCTGATGACTTAAGACTTAAATGTGCCATCTGGGCAGAGTTGTGGTTATCAGTAAAACTTAGATAAAAGCAATATAAAACAGCAAGATTTGACTTCCTTTTTTTGTAGAGATCAGGGAGTATGCCTTCTAGCATGCTGCTAGATATTAAACCCATTATGGCCACTTAATGTTGAACAAACACTACTTCTGGGACCAACTTGAGTGTTTGTATTTTAGCTTTTGACATCTTGTCATTGTAGCTGGAAGTACCATCAGAGGCACTTGGAAACTGTAGGCTCCCCTCTAGGAGAATAAAATCTTGACTCAGTGTAAGAACTTCCAGAAACAGAGGAGTTTTTTGATCCCTATGTGGAAAGTCCATTTTTAGACAGCCTTGTTTTTCTTTATTGGTGCTTTCTAGACTTGCAGAATCGTACGTATGGTTTGATAGCATCTGATCCATGTTCAGTATAACGGCTGGACTGATGCTGCTCTCGCCTGCACATTTCTTTGCACTGAAGGTTTTGGGTTCTTCCTTTGGGTGTAATAAGCTATGCAAGTCAAAGTGTTTTACGTCATCCTAGTTACTAAAAAGGCACCCAGAAGATAATATAAACCATAAGTGCTCTTTCAGTTTACAGAGTATTGTCACATAAGCTACTAGATATTTACTAGATAATTCTGTTATTAGATATTCTGGACAGCTCAGGTGGATTGGCCAGGAATTCAGGAATAGTGACTTGCTCTTTAATGAGTAGAAAGGCTAAAACTGTTTGTAGGCAGAAAAACCCATTTACTCTTGGAAACAGGCTCCCATGAATCTTTTCTTTTTAATAATATGTAAAAGATTTGGCTTACAGCTAGGTGCTGGTAGCTCACTCCTGTAACCCTAGCTACTCAGGAAGCTGAGATCTAAGGATCACAGTTCAAAGCCAGCTTGGGTGAGAAAATCCATGAGACTCTTATCTCCAATTAACCACCAGAAAACCAGAAGTAGAGCTGTGACTCAAAGTGGTAAAGCACTACCCTTGAGCACAAAGAGGTTCAGGGATAGTACCCAGGCCCTGAGTTCAAGCCCCATGATCAACAACAACAACAACAACAAAAAGATTTGACCTGGGGAGGTGAAATCACACGAGTGCGAAGAACAACTGTGAAATGAGGTAAACCTAACATGTGTTGCAGGGTCCGGGCTGGCTTAGCCTAGACTTTTCTTTCTTGTGTCTCTGTTGTTCTTGGACAGGACTATACTGACACAGAGCTTCTGCTCTCCCGGGAAAATGTGGACCAGGAGGCCCTGCTGAACTACGCCCGGGAGGCGGCGGACTTCTCCACGCAGCATCAGCTGCCCTCTCTGGATTTCGCCATCAATCACTATGGGCAGCCCGATGTGGCTATGTTTGACTTCACGTGTATGTATGCCTCTGAGAACGCTGCCTTGGTACGGGAGCATAACGGACACCAGTTATTAGTGGCTCTGGTTGGGGACAGCCTCCTGGAGGTGAGTGCTAAGAGCACTAAGGTGCGCTCTTAATCGCATGGGCTGTAGTAAAGAGGCAGTCATGATGCAATCAAGTCTAGGTACCCATGCTGTGGAGGGATTGTGTTAGCAATGTTGGCAGATTCCCTGTAAGACACAGACAGGGGTTAGGCCTCTAGGACCAAAGTTAGTTAAGTATAAGTGGAAATTCTGCAGGTTTTGTTTTTTTTTTGGTCAGCCATGGGGCTTGAACTTAGGTCTTGGACATTGTTGCTGAGCACTGTCTCTGAGCCTCTTTGTGCTCAAGGGTAGCGCTCTACTACTTTGAGCCACAGGGCCACTTCCAGTTTCCTGAGTGGTTTATTGGAGATCAGAGTCTCACAGACTTTCCTGCCTGGGCTGGCTTTGAACCTCGATCCTCAGATCTCAGCCTCCTGAGTAGTTAGGATTATAGGTGTGAGTCACCAGCTCTCAGCATTGGTGGCCAAATACTTCTGTCAGTAGCAAACTCTTTATTTGTTCCTTAGTTAACTTCCCTCTTAAAAGATGAGTTATGTTTTTAACGTATTTATAATGTACTATTGTGATTTTTTTTTTTTTTTTGTGCCTTTGGTATGTTCCTCCCCCCCAGTATAACCCCTGATTTCACTGTATTTGATTCCAGTGCTCTGCACCTTGTATATACACTTTTCTAATTTGGGGAGGGGAAGGGAAAAAACAAAATGCTTAAATAGGGTTACAGGTTGACCCATTGTAACAATGAGATGTACAAGACACTACGTTGAAAATGAGCTGTACAACTTCGGCAGGGGGAGGTAATTGGGGAGGTGGGGAAGGAAGGGATGGTAGGGGAAAAACAAAGGAGGAGGCAACAATGCTCAATAGGAAATGGACTCATTACCTTACTTATGTAACTGTAACCCCTCTGTACAGCATTTTTACAATAAGAAAGTATTAAAAAAAAAAAGATGAGTTATTTTAACTCCTTATTTAATATTTCTTTCATAGCCTTTCTGGCCAATGGGAACAGGAATAGCCCGGGGCTTTCTTGCTGCTATGGACTCTGCCTGGATGGTACGAAGTTGGTCTCTAGGAAGCAGCCCGTTGGAAGTCCTGGCAGAGAGGTAACAGGAAGAAACCTTGCTCTCCTCCATGGGAAAACTAGGGAAGAAGGAGTGGCTTATGTCTAGGCTAGGTGCAGGCTCTTCCTTCTATATTTCTTCAATAAAGATACTTCTATAGTTAAGTAAAAGAAAGGCAAGATAATGTTTCATAAAATCATAGACACCTCAAGGCAGTCTTAACTAACTGCTCCCCCCGAACCCCACCCCATGGTCCTAGGGCTTAACTCTGGGCCTGGGTGCTGTCTATGAGTTCCTTTTGCTCAAAGCTAGCACTCTACCACTTGAGCTACTTCCAGCCTTTTCTGTGATTAATTAGAGATAAGAGTCTCACGCATGAGCCACCGGTATCCAACTCTAACTGCTCTTTTCTTATCCCCTTTTCAAATTGAATTGGTTATTGGTGGGTGGTGTCTGTATCTTTGTGTACCACTGAACAGTGCTAATCCCTTTCTGATGAGCACATGAATGAATGTAGAGAGATAGCATATTAGATCTTGTTCTGTATGTTTTGTTTGGGAGAACATCTCACAATTAGGCAACAAAACCAAGATCCTCCAGTGTCAGCCTCCCAGAGTGGATTACAGGATTACAGATGTACACTACACCACAACAGATCTTCTTTTCTTTAATCCAGGAAGACTTATGCTAATGATACCAGTGTGGTAATGGGCATATGTTAAAGTAAGAAATCAAAAGTGACTTTCTCACAATAAGCCACCAAACTGCTCATAAATGTTTCAAAAACCCCTGAATAAAAGCAGATTTTTGCCAGGGGCCAGTGGCCTCAGACCTGTAATCCTAGCTACTCAGGAGGCTGAGATCTGAGGATCACGGTTCAAAGACAACCTGGGCAGAAAAGTGCCCGAGAGACTCTTATCTCCAATAAACCTCTCAAAAACTGGAAGCAGCACAGTGGCTCATATGGTAGAGTGCTACCTTTGAATACAAAGAGGCTCAGGGACAGTGCCTAGGTCCTGAGTTTAAGCCCTACTACTGACAAAATAAAAGCAGATTTTTAGAAATCCTCAGCTTTAGCTCATGCTTGTAATCCTAGCTACTAAGGAGCCTGAGATCTGAGGCTCACAGTTTGAAGTTAGCTGGGACAGGAAAATCTGTGAGACTATTACCTCCAATTAACCCCTAGAAAACCAGAAGTGGCTCTGTGACCCAAAGTGGTATAGCACTAGCCTTGAGCAAAAGAGCTCTGACTTCCAAGTCCTATGACAGAAATGAAACAACAAATATCCTCAGATTTGCCTGCTGATTAAGAACTAATGTTTTAGCTGGGCACCAGTGACTCATGCTTGTAATCCTAGCTACTCAGGAGACTGAGATCTGTGGATCATGATTTAAAGCCATACCAGGCAAGAAAGTCTGTGAGGCTTGTATCTCCAATTAACCGTCAAAAAGCCAAAAGTGAAGCTGTGGCTCAAAGAGTAGAGCAGTAGCTTTGAACAAAAAAAACTCAGAGCCAGTGCCCAGGCCTGAGTTGAAACCCTAGGACTTACACACACACACACGCGCGCGCGCACGCGCACACACACACACACACACACCTTTACTAAAAATTTCACTCACACACACACACCTTTACTAAAAATTTTCTGAATGAAATTGGTAGTTGATACTGTATTATCATGTTAATTCTGTTTCTTAAGGCTTTCTGGATAAATGTGGTGGCATTCTTTTTCATCTGTTGATTCCATAATATTGTAGTTAAATATACTTGTAAACACACACACACACACGCACGCACGCATGCACGCACGCGCACACACACACACACACACACACACACACACACACACACACACACCAGCCTTTTAAATTAGAGCCAGGCATTTGCCACTGCTCACAGCAGCATTGTCTTTACTCTCTTGACTCTTTCCTAGCCAGCTGCCCACGGAGGCACTGAGCGGTGGGTCTGAGAGGGGAGGGCTGGTACAGTGTTGGCGGGCACTCACCAGGGATACATATTTGCTGTATATATCAGATAATTTGGTAGATTGTCCCAACAGTTGTTACAAAGGAGAGCAAGCTCTCTCTGGTGCTTGTCATTACTGAATGTACTACTGTGTATTATTACAGGGAAAGCATTTACAGGCTGCTCCCTCAGACCACCCCTGAGAATGTGAGCAAAAACTTCAGCCAATACAGCATCGACCCTGTCACGAGGTACCCCAATATCAACATCAACTTCCTCAGGCCAAGCCAGGTAAGAGCCTTCTGGTCAGTTGCTTGTGTCTTTGTCTATTCTTGGGCCTCCATTGTATTGAAGCATGTTTGATTTAACTATGTTTGGTATTAATACAGCACATACTTTGAGTAATCCACATGGAGGTGACTGAATTTGTGGAAGGTATTATTTTCCATCAACACATTAAATAGCTGAGGCATAGAGTTGTTGAAAGACTTGCAGAAGATCAGAAGTGACAGAAGCTGGCCATGGTAGTTCACACCTACAATGCCAGCACTCCAGGCTGAAGAAGCAGGAAGATTGCAAGTTTGAGGCAAGCCTGGGCTACATAGTATCCTGAAAAGTAAATAAACAAACATCATACACACACAGACACAGACACACACACACACACACACACACACACACACACACACACACACACACGCACGCACACACGCACACACAGTGGCAGTAACTGTGGCCCCAGGACTTTATCCCATGCCTCCTAAATCAAACTGTTTTTGTTCAGTAGCTAAGAAGTGTGACTTCCACCATTGGTAACTTGTGACTTGTACCATTCATTTCACTTTTTCTGAGCCTCCATTTTTCATATGAGAAATCTCAGATAATCACTTTTTTAATTTGTAATGGCAAGTGTATTGCCTAGTTCGAAGAATTTTAAAAGGTGAAGTACTCTGTACAAGTAGAAGTTAGTGCTAATTTTAGTCATTTTTTTCCCCCTGTTCCTCAAAATCTTTGTAACTTCATTACTCTATTGAGAATGAATCTTGACAGTTCCAAAAAGTAGAACAAAGTTTTAGGAAGAAGCCTATTAGACTTATTAGCCTAGATTCCGAAGTAAGTTTTTATTCACCTTCTACCTGACGTTGACACTTTTGAGGCCACGTGCTGTGCTCTGTGTGTGTCTGTGTGCACGCATGTGTGCATGCATGCATGTGTGTATACTTACACTGTGCTATAACAATCTGAGTAGACAGCCTTAATTGTCCATGGAGACTGTTCAGAGGGACCTCGATAGCTAAGAGGCTTTAAGCACAGCTTAGAATCAGTAAGTCATTCCATATAACCTACATAAGGATTGTAAGGTCTTCATCATAATTTCTGTCTAAACCTTATCTTGGGGCTGGTGTAGAAGCTCAGTAGAATACATGTTGAGCATGTTCAGCGTCCTGGGTTCAACCCCTAGTACCAATGAAAATTAAAAATAAACTTTAACCAACCTGGGTTTTCAGCTTTCACTTTAGTCATTTCTCCTTTCAGCTGGGAATTTGTTACTTAGTTTGATTTTCCTTTTCAATTTTCTGCCAGGTACGCCATTTGTACGATACTGGAGAAACAAAAGATATTCATCTGGAAATGGAAAACCTAGTGAATTCCCGAACCACCCCGAAGTTGACTCGCAATGGTAAGTTCTGGTACTGTCCTTTGTAAAGGCAAGTGACCTGTCCAGATAAGTACACGCCTCTCAAGGCTGTGCACAGCACCATCTAAGGCAGTGTCCACAGCCAGTGCCTCTGCCCTCCAGAGACTGTATCTGGGGACTGTTTTGGTTTGGCCATGACGGGTAGATTTGCTACTGGCACTTAGAAGATACAAGCCACGGAAGTTACTAAGTTGCCTGCAACGTAGAAGGCAGGTCCACAACAAAAAATTACCTTGATCTGTGGCATTATGAGGAAGTAGAGGTAAATCAAACCCAGAGGCAAGAGAAAGAACATGCATGGACAAGAAAGCTTGTGTTCACCCATACACGTCTGCAGGAGACTTTGCACAACAGATGTCATGTTAGCCATGTCCTGTGACAGTACCATAGCACAACAGTAACGGTGTAGGCTATTTCCTAGCACCAGGAGTTCTATGTCTCAGACATTTCCACTGGGAAAGACTTCATAGAAATTTTATGATGAAGGATTCTTACGTTCACAAGTTAGTGCCAAGCTAAATATTTTCAGCTGTCTTAGGGAAGAGACTAGACTTTCTTGGACCCAAAAGGGAGCTGAGATTCCCTCGAATAATCCACACCAGAGCTCTTCTGATGTGAGGTTGTTGGGGTCCAGTGAGCTGGAAAACATCGGAGTGTTGCATGTTTTTGCCTATTGGATGTCTCAGGATGTGATCATTCAAAATACAGGGTGCCAACCTGGGTCCAAGGATTGTTCTGGTCTCGGGTCCTTGGCCTGCCTTATCAGTGTCACTCCAGTTTCTTCACTTGGCAAATCGCTTGTTACTTTAGAAAGTGTAAGAGCAAGTCTTTGGTTACATTCCATTTATGGTGCTAGAGATAGAGCGGAACCTTTTCTAATCTAATCTCCCCATGTTGCTGTGAAGGAAAAGGCTTCATCAGCCAGGTGCCAGCTGACTCTCCAGGGAGATCCTGGGCTACTGCCAGCGAGGGTGACAGCTCAGCAGGCACTGAGCTCTCTCCTATTCACTGTGTCAGTCCTCAGGAGTGCTTCAGTGGCAGGTCAGTGTCACCCAGCTGTGAGATATCTGACTGTCCCCTGGAGCATTGACTTTGGAGGCTGACATAGTGGTACCTAAATTATTCCTATCACGATACAAGTTATTTAACTTTATACCTTCCTATTTTCCATTGAATCTGCTACTGACCATTTTGTCCCTACACTCAGTAAATTTTCCAACTGGATATGTTAACTGAAAGAAATCCTATGTAATTCAGTGTTGTGGGTGACTACACTTCCAATAATAATTGTTTTCATTACTTTAGAGTCTGTAGCTCGCTCAAGCAAACTTCTGGGTTGGTGCCAAAGGCAGACAGATGGTTATGCAGGCGTAAATGTGACAGATCTCACCATGTCCTGGAAAAGTGGCCTGGCCCTATGTGCGATTATCCACAGATACCGCCCTGACCTAATGTAAGTTGTGACCAAACTTGGTGTTTTATTTTATATCTGCTGAAATCTCAGCGTTTCCTGCTACCAAGTATGTAAATTTTGTTCTTTTTCCTAGAATAAGATTTCTAGACGGCTGGGATTTCTATATAGTTACTTTTAAAACTCCATGTGTCAAGAGTTAAATAGCTCAACCTAGGAATAGTTAGCTTTGGGGCTGGGAAGGTGGCTCAGTGGTAGAGCGCTTGCCTTGCATGCATGAGGCCCTGGGTTCGATTCCTCAGCACCACATAAGCAAAAAAAGGAAAAAAAAAAAAAAGGCAGGAATAGTTAGCTTTTTAAAAATTCACAGTATTTAGAAGGTCAAAACTGCTTTTAACACCCACCTGGACCTGTTAGCTTCACACAGAGGAAAACTATTTATTGGCCCTGGATTGAACTCTTCATTTTGGCCAGCTGTCTCCGGAATGCTATTGGTCACAAGGGAAACCTGGCTAGAACACTTTGGCTAGCTCAAGACAAATATGTCATTACCAAAGAAACAGAGAACAATGGGTATTACTCAATTCATGATGGCTTGTTGGCGTTTTCTTTGTTAAAGACTGCTCTTTTACAAACAGATGTTGTCAAGCTCATGAAGTGCATATCATTTTACCCACTGGACCAGTAATACCTCTTTGTCCATCCTTCACTCATCTGTCTACAGAACCAATGCACAGGGGCAACTCCAAGTCCACTGACATGACCAGCACACTTAGATTCCCCCCATGTTACCATGTTACCATGGAACTCAGAGAGATTCAGAGGCAGAAGTAGAGCATGTTGAATTATTTTGGTTGACTATCTTTTTTATTACTAGGTTCACTTAAGGACCCACTTGTTTGTTTGTTTTAATGGTTGATTAAGGAATTCTAAATCCCTATTTATTATGTGACAGTTATAAGCTAAGACCTAGTACATACATACAGCTTTATAGAGTTTATTAAAATGAGGAGTATGGAATGTTGGGTGAATACAGTTATAAGACTCAACATATATACATAAAAATTGAACTGGAAACAATGAGATTGGTAGAAGTAGGGATAGGTAGGATGTGTGGGAGGAGGAAATGGTAGAAGGGCTGACTCTAATCCAGATGCATTGTACACACAAATGGACACATTAAATTATAACACCCCCCCCCTTGTACAACTATGGGAAAATAACTGTGTGTGTGTGTGTGTAAAGAGTATGAGTTAGGTGCCAGTGGCTCACACCTGTAATCCTAGCTACTCAGGGGGCTGATTTCTGAGGATGATGCTTCAGCTAGGTAGGAAAGTCCATGAGACTCTTATCTCCAGTGAAGCACCAAAAAGCCAGAAGTGGAGCTCTGGCTCAAATAGTAGAGTGCTAGCCTTGAGCAAAAAAGCTCAGGGAGAGCACCCAGGCCTTGAGTTCAAGCCTCAGGGCCAGAACACACACAAAAAAGTATGTGTAAGACCCTGGGTTTGATTCTAAACCCAATAAAACAAACAAAAGTAAAGAACTCTAGCTGGACATGGTGATTGATGCACTTTTGTAATCCCAGCACTTAGAAGGCTGAGGCCGGAGGATTGTGAGTTCAAAGCCAGCTTCTACTATATAGTGAGGCCCTCTCTAAAAACAAACAAGACAAACAACAAAAATGGAGTGGGCTAGGGGGTGTCACTTAGACGTCAAATGCTTGTCTAGCGTGTACCAGGTCCTGGGTTCAATCTCAGGAGCACAGAAGTTAAGGGAGGGATGGTTCATGTGTACACGGATAACGTGTGTATCCCCCGTGCTCCTGTCACTTGTACATCTGGATATTACTGAAAGGTAAACACAACATTTTCATTCCCAGCAAAGAAAGAGATGGATCTGAAGAGCAGCTTGAGGTAAATTGTGACACAGGACAGAAATGTGCTTCAGGAGGGAAGGCAGGGTGAGGCAGGAGTAGTGAGGGGTGGGGGTGGATGTGGTGTGGAGGAGACCCTTCCTTCCCATGAGATCCTGGGAAAGGCCTGCACAGAGCAGCGAGTGCCTTACACAATGAGCACCCACAGTCACAGACAGACGTGATTATTGAAAAATGGAAAAGTGCCACGGGGTCAGTAAGGCTGCCAGGTGAATTTGAAATCACCCAAGGAGAAATGCTAGTTACCATTACTCTGATTAGCAAGAAGCTTAAAACCCAGGGAGAAGTATTTATTGATCTAAATACTAAGTAAAATTCAAGACAATTACTAGTAGAAAAACTTGTGATGATGGTTTTGGATTTGCTCCTCAGGAGAACGCTGAACAGGATTCACCAGGGCTGATGTGTCAGAATATTCGAGGCCACGTGGAGCAGTTGATCCCAGTAGAATCCAGACTGGATTCGTGTCCCTTTTGAACATGAGTTCTGTATTTATGTCTACAAAATAGAGACATCAAGTGTAGGAGAATACATATTAAAGATCACTCCTATCATAGGCTTACATTTTACTAAATAAAAAAGTATATTGCTAGAAAAATGACAGTAGCCTTTCCCATTTCTTCTGGTTTTCTTTTAGCAGGTAGATCCGGTCAGTTGTCCCTTAGATGCTATGTGTTTCTTTAGTAAGAGCAGGAAAAAGAGCTCTGAGGCTCCCAGCTCCTAGGGAGCAGAGACTATGTGTTCTGATTTGAGGACAGTTAGCTCAGTTCTGTGTTCCTTGTCCTGTTTCTCAGAGATTTTGACTCTCTGGATGAGCAGAATGTGGAGAAGAATAACCAGCTGGCCTTTGACATTGCCGAGAAGGAGCTGGGCATCCCTCCCATCATGACAGGCAAGGACATGGCATCCGTGGGGGCCCCAGACAAGCTGTCCATGGTGATGTACCTGACGCAGTTCTATGAGATGTTCAAGGACTCGCTCTCCTGCGCTGGTAAGGGTCCTGGGGCGTGGGGTTGGAGTCCTAGGTTCCCGCCAAGCTGTTGAAGTCTTTTTTCCTCTTTTCTTTCAAGTGTGTGCTACATCAAAGCCGCCGGGCAAGGTACCACCAGCTCAGCCTTAGTCTGTTTTAGACTATTAGCCACCAGCACAAGTCTCTGGAAACCTTGCTTCATTGATTTTTTTTTTTTCTTTCTCTGTCCATTCTCTTCAAAATCTCCTACTTAAGCCTATAACTATGCAAAAGTCATTCGTATCCAACCTTATTTGTTTATTTATTGGGAGTACTGGAGTTTTGAATCCAAGGCCTTGTTGCTAGGCAGACAGTATACCGCCTGAGCCATGCCCACCTTCTTTTCACTTTTGTTATTTTTCGGCAAGGTCTTAGGCCACCCTACGCCCCGCCTCTCCCCCAGGCTGACCATGGACTATGATCCTCTTACCTATTTCTCTCATATAGCTGGGATTACAGTCATGGCCACCAAGCCCTGCCTTTAACCGTTTCTCTTGTTTCTACCTCCTTTCCCCAGATTCCATCTCAGACCCAATCCTGAGAAAGTGGTCTCTGTTCATGCCTAAGCTCGGAGACACGGTGTGACCCTAATTCTGTCTGTTCATCTCTCATGAACTTTGGTCGTTGCACACCAGGCAACATGTGTAACGATGTCCTTTTCATTGTGCCCTGTCTCCTCAGACTCATTCTCTTTTCTGCAACCATTCTCTCTAGCTTTTCTCATGACACCTGCCCCTAGGACTCCTCAGCCTGCTGCCTCTGTTAGCACCCAGCAGGGTGACAGGTGTTCCTGTCACCACTGCTTGTACCTTGAATCACGCACCTTTCTTCTTCTTCCCTTCTCTCCCTGTCTCTGTTCTGAAACTTCGCTCACCAAGGCAAGACTGTGGCACTCTCCTATGACTGTCACAGGCAGATTCTAGCTTTTGAAAAGCAGAAGTTCACGGTTTGATAACTAAACTGTATTGGTTGTATGTATAGATGGAAGAGAAGACTTAGCATCTAGACCCAAGCATGCATTTGTTTTGTGGCCTTTCCTATGGAGATACATTTCCTTGAACCTCCTGCAAAGGAAAATGGTCTGTTAGAGTCTTAGAACATTGCTGCTTTCTGTTTACAGATCACTTGGATCTGAATGCTGAGGAGAAAGCAGTTCTAATAGCCAGCACCAAATCCCCCATCTCCTTCCTGAGCAAACTCGGACAGACCATCTCTCGGAAGCGCTCACCCAAGGTACATACGTGCTGGAGACCTGTTACTGCAGAGTGAATGGCAAGTATGGTGATCAGAATAATGCAGTTTCTCTCCTCTCTCAATACAGGATAAAAAGGAAAAGGACTTAGAAGGGACTGGAAAGAGGAGAAAGACAAGTCAGTCAGAGGAGGTGAGATTTATCTGGGGTTTGCTATAGAATAATTATACTGAATTGGCTTTTATAGCTTAAATTCTTAGTTTCCAAGTTGCTATTGATAGATCTTTGTATATTCATCCTTTATGAGAATCTCTGTGAGCAGGTGCCTTTCTTGGTGGACTTTTGCCCTTGTTTAATGTTCTAGAGAGCCTCTGGGCCTTCTTGGCTCTTCGGAATCAGACATTTGGCTTCCCTGGGTCTTGAGGGCCAGCCTGAGTCTTCAGTGCCTCTGTAGTGAATGCCCCATGTCCCTGGGTCTTGCTTACCATCCAGAGATTAGAACCTTGGAAGAGTAATATCAAGCTCAACAGAAAGCCCTCACTCAAATCCTGATCTTACTCCTTTGAGGGAAAAGCATGTGGAAGGCCCCTGTAACAGAACCTGGTTCTTGGATGCTTACCATTTGGCAGGAGGAAGCTCCCCGAAGCTGCAGAGGAGAGAGACCAACACTAGTGAGCACTCTGACAGACAGGAGGATGGACATTGCTGTTGGCAACCAGAACAAAGTGAAGTATATGGCAACCCAACTCCTGGCCAAATTCGAGGAGAATGCACCGTCTGCACAGTCCAGTAGCGTCAGGAGACAGGTAAGCTAATCACCAGGATGGCCAGATCAGACAAGAAGAAAAGCCTGCAGTGGGATGAGATGGCCCATGACACGGACCCTGGGTCTTATGGATTCACAACTGGGCCTGTGTTCCTCTTGTCTGACTTTAGCAAAAAGCATTTTCTAAGCCCATATTACACATTAAGGCTGTTTTAATCTCAGATCAAGTGGAGGGATCTGAGACAAAAGGCCAACAGAGAGATCTAAAAAGCGTATGTGTGCGTGTGTATGTATATACATACATACCTAAATTATGATAGAAGTATAAATTAGAAAATAAGCCTAGTAACGGTGGTAAACACTTGAAATTCCAGCACTTGGGAGACTGAGACTGGATAGATCTCAAGTTTGAGAACAGCCTAAGGTACATAGAAAACCTATCTCCAAAAAAAAAAAAATGGGTGCCAGTGGTTCACACCTGGAATCCTAGCTACCCAGGAGGCTGAGATCTGAGGATTTGCAGTTTGAAGCCAGCCCAGGCAGGAACGTTAATGAGACTCTTACCTTAACCACCAAAAAGCTGGAAGTGGAGCTGTGCTCAAGTGGTGCCAGCCTTGAGTGAAAAACACTGACAGTGCCCAGGCACTGAGTTCAGGCCCCAGGACCAGCAGAAAAATAAATGAATAAGTGAATAGATGCAAGCATATTAAGGAAAATCTGTAAATTAAGACAACTACAATTCTGCCAATATCTTGCTACATTACTTTCTGGTCTTTTTTCTTTTCTTTTCTTTTTTTTTAGTGCGCTTCTGTTATAATTCTTAACATGTGCTTTTGTTTTTCTGGTTTTCATTTAACCTCAATCATAGTCCCATGTTGTTCTAAACTTCCTACAGGCATCTTCTACAATGTGTGGGTACCATACTCCTGTTCATTTCTCTCTACTGTTGGATGCTTTAGTCGTTTCTCATCTTTCATTACAAGATAGGGAGGTGAACCATCTTACGATAAAGTTATTTTGTTATGTTGCATATTATTGTCCTATGGCACTGCTAACATGAGACCATTTTTGAATACTCAATTGTATTCCTGAAGTCAGGTGAGAGAGTTTAGACAGCATTTGATGTGAACTGTCCATCATAAGTCTTGTTTCTCCCTTGCTTATGTAAAAGTCACCGAGGCTTCTTACAAGAAGAGGAGCTTGGGTTTGAGATTCACACAGATGAAAGCGCCTTACAGAACTTCAGAGGGCTTGAGGCCCCTTCTCTGTATCTTCTACATACTGATAGACCATCATTCGCTTAGACCAGACAGGCGCCACTAGCTTTGCTTCGAGTCAGACTTCAGTTAGTGTCTCACACCTGATCTTTGGTTATTAGTGTTTGAAGGTTGTAGATCACTGGAAAGGTGACAGTTCACTAAGGAAGCATTAGAGGTATCCTGGAGACTCCCTCTCTTGCTTCCCCAGAGAGTTGCTTCCCTAATGCTGGGAGAGAAGTTTGGTGTTCTAAATCATAATTAGTAGTTTGGACCCACAGAGCACTGAGTTAGACCACTGCAACTTCGATTTCCTTTTTTGTACTTGTATGGTTTGGGGGAGGCTATTTTCTTTCCTTATAGTGTGACTTTTTAGAATTAATTATACCTTATTGCTACCACACTCACAGATGTGTGTGTGTGCCTTTTTGTGTCTTCTCTTGCCTTAATGTATTTTATTTTGTTTTGTCTCCATGTCCTCTGTCCCACGCATTCATGGCCTGTGTGTCACAGCCGGCACAGGAGCGTGGGGTCAGCCAGCCGAGCTGCTGCCTGTCTGAGCAGGGTCGCCCTGCTCCTACCCCCCAGTGGAAACAGGTAAAGGAACTGACTGGGGACCAGGACAGGAGCCTGCTGCCGCCCAGCCTTCTCTCCCACCTCCTGCTGCTGCCCCAGCCCATGTCCAGGCCTGCACTTGAGAATCTTAATTAGCAAGGACAGGAAAGCACTGTGTCCAGTGCTTGTCTTGGGAAACCATGTAACAGACAATGTTGATTTGATTCTGTGATTTGATTAACGCCTTGGGATTTAAGAGGGCAGTTAGTTTGGTGATGAAGCTGACTGAAGTGGTGTGCTTGTTTAAGTACTTTAGCCTTTGGGGCTTTGCTAGTGTGACATCTGTCCCCGGTTGGCTTTTTGGTTGCGTGTCTCCTTGTGATGAGGAAGGGAGGGTTCTGCATTGGCAAGGCCTGGGAAAGCAGAGCCTTCCCATGAAACGGATAAATAATGATTTTATTTCAAACCTTGGAGATAAATGTTCATGAGGTTTTTTTTCCTTGGAGGTTAGTCCAGATTTAATTCTTTTGTGAGGGGGCTGAGTTTATAGTTTAGTGGTAGAGTGCTTAAGGCTTTAGGTTCCATCCCCAGCACAGCAAAGAAAGCAGAATATTTGGGCATGGTGGCACATGCCTGTAATCCTAGCGCTCTGGAGGATGAGGCAAGAGGATCTGGACCAGCTTGGGTTACATAGTAAGATTCTATCTCGGCAGCTACAATAAACACAAAACCACTGGATCTCCTGGATCCAGTGTGGGAAAAGTACTGGCACCTGGTAATGGAAAACCTGTCAGAGAGTGAATGGGCCTTTACTGTGTTTTCCCCAGTGTTACTGTTGAGCAAGTTTCTGCTGCAGTGGATGGAGCCTAGGTTCGCTTTCTTGTAGTTGGTGTCATTTAGAGTGGATAGGATGCTGAAAGGTCACATGAGCTGATCCTGGGTTCCAATAGCGTCTTCCACAGCTGGCCTTCACAAAGCCTCTTGTGCTGCAGAGTAGCTGGCCTGTTGCTGGGAGGTGTTTGGGAACGACAAGTGAGGACTTATTTAAACTGCATTCAGTCCTCTTGAACCTCTTAAATAATATGTCACATGGAAAGCAGGGCCCGTGAGGTTCAGGTGGAATCTTAAAGTCATGTCTTGAAGTCAAACTTCCTCTTTCCCTGTACCTGGGAACATGGTGTGGAAATTGTTCATAAGGATTGAGGTCAAAAGTTGGGGCTTGGCTCAAGTAGCAGACTGCTTATCCAGCAAGCATGAGACCCCGAGTTCAAACCCCAGTATCTTAAAAAAAAAAAAAAAAAAAGCACACTGGCTCACTGGCTAGTTCCTGTAATCCCAAGAAATAGGGATAGAGATCTGAAAGATTGTGTTCTAGCCAGCCTAGGCAAAAGTTAAGTCAGATCCCTCTCTCAGTACACAGAGAATGGGAACTGAGCAGCAAGGTCAGGAGTGATCTCTGCATGGGTGGGCAGATGGCTGCACTTGGCTTGTGCCTGGCAGCTTTGGCGGGCTTGCTGGAAATGTGGGCAGCACGTGTGGTTCAGGGAGGCTGCTGACCCAGGGCCTGTGCCCCAGCAGAGACTGATGCCCAGCCTGAAGAAGCATCAGACACTCAAGTGTATGAGGCTGCATGTGGCAGCCTGATTGGTGCGTGAGGTTCCATGGGGAGATGTTGTTTGTCCCAGCTTATTTTGGTTGTTGTCTGGGGCATTTCTGGTTACAATCAATGAGGTAGAACACTTGGTACACTATATGGGCAGGAGTACAGAAATAATACAGTCAAACAGGGATTGAAGCGAGAAAGAGCTGACTAAGACCACAGCAATAAAAACTCTGTCAGATACTCAAGTGCTTGGGGTTGCTTAGAGCAGGAACTATTGCTTCTGTGTATGGGGAGAGGTAGCGCTGGGAAGTGCTCACCCCACTGAGCTTTTGTCCCCATAGAATGTGTAATGTTTACTTCCAGACTTTTCTTGGTGTTAACTCCCAGCCCTCTAAGCTCATCTGGTCCCAAGGGCACCGTAGATTGAGGACAGAGAGATTGGTGTCTGGGCCACTGTCTTCCTGGCCTGGCAGCTTGCCTCTCCTCTCCCCTCCAGAAAGGAGACTTGAGGAACCACACCTTGCTACGACTAACTGTGTGATTCTCTCAAAGTGGTTCCCACCAAGGCAGAGGGTGTGGCAGACCTCACAGCAATGCCTGAGTTGGCACAGGGGCCCGCCCGTCCCAACTTAGGTCATCCTGTGGAAGGAAAGAATGAATAACTACCCTGCTTCCCAGTGGCCTCTCTTCAGTGCCTTCCTGTGTAAACAGTATGACTCTTCCTTCCCTACCCTCTGCCTTTTGATCTCAGTAGTACATCACCAAGACAAACTGCATATAAACAGCATGAAGTTTGGAAGCAGATTGTCATGTGAAGTGGGAACAAACAGGCAGGGGGTCTTTTTCCCTGGCTTCATGACTTCCACAACTTCTACCTGAACGCTGCCCCGCACAGCCATCTAGGCACAGGAAAAGAATTCCTATGTAATGTGTGTTGGTTTGTCAAATACCAGAGGCTTTCTGATGACAGACTCACTAGAAAGGGGAGATAGGGGGTCAGCAGAACAGGAAAAGCCACAGACATACATATGTATAATATTGAGATAACGAAATGCACTTCATTCTTGAGTCATTTGACATACTCATTAGAGTGGATTGGCGCCCTTTCTTACAACCGAGCCCATTTCTGGGTCCCCAGCTTCCTTGATAAAGCCATACCCCCGGCATTTACAGAGCACTATCCCATAAGTCCTCACCAACTGCTTAGTGACCTATGCCATCTGTGCCTAGCAAAAGGTACCACTCCAGCCTGGAGGCCAAGAGACCATGATAAGCTACTCTGACCTCCCAGTGATGTGCTGAGGGTGGAGGGACAAGGACCAGGCCTCTTGAGATGCTTTGCAGACACCACGCAGCCCTTCCAGAACCAGCCCTCATGACCACCATTTCAACAACATTCTCTCTGTTTGTGTCTGTTGGTATAAAAGCGACGGGAAAAGAATTGTTCTCGGACCTGCCCCAAAAAAGTGATCACCCTCTCTCCTCCCTCTACTCCGCCTCCCTCTTGGGCACACGGTGGCCAACAGGTGATCCTCTGCATGCTCTGTGTCTGTCTGTCTGTCTGCCCGCCTGCCTGAGTAGACACTGCTTTGGTGTCCCCTCCTTTCAAAGACAGCTGTTAAAGAGAAAGACGGTTTAGGAAAACATTCATAGCAGAAGCAACTAGTATGGCTGCAGATAACCGCTTCCTGACAGCACTGCAGGAGCAACTAGTATGGCTGCAGATAACCACTTCCTGACAGCACTGCAGGATAGTTTCCTATATATCAGACTCGGGCGTTTCATCCATCATGGCCACACAGCCGTGCAGCCACAAACTAAAGTGAAAGCTGCAGTCTCCACAGATTGGAGGCACAGAAACTATGTAAGCCACATTCTTAAAGAACCACATTCTACACAGCCTTTTTTTCCCCCTCCGCTTTGTATAGAACAGTATGGCTAAGGGGCATGTTTGGAAACTTTGGGCTGGGTGCATTCTAGTCCTGCTTCTCCAGCCCCTTCTGCATCGCAGGCAAATAACCAGGAGCTGCCTCTGGAGCAGATGTGGCTTCTGAAGCACTTGAGCTGATCATTGTGCCAAGCACACTTAAATAAAGTGTGGTTGTAGAATGCCTGTACTGACCTTCAGGATGAAGCCTCATAAAATAAACTGCTCGCTTTGCGGCAGGGTAGGTGGAAAGATGCTTTCTCAAATCAGTTGGCCTATTTAAAAGGTAGCCACTAATAATCTATCTGGTCTTAAAGGCCCACCTCCCATCCCTGGTTCTAGAAACTGAGCATGGAAGATGTAGTTACTGTGTAGTACTTTCTCCTCGAGTGGGAGCTAAGCCTTGAGCATTTGCTGCAAGGGAATCTTTAAGTTTCTCTCACGTATTATCTCTGACAATATCATAGTCACTATGCCAGGCAGGTGGTGTTACCATTACCTCCAGTTTGTAGACGGAAGCGTAGGGGAGAGTGGCTACAGGTAAAAGGACCAGAAGTGAATCTGAGCCTTTGATTCTGGAGCCCATGCTCAGCCCACGCCACCTGTAACAGCTCGTGAGCAGCGAACTGTGTAGGAAGCTGGAGATCATTTCTTCCCCGTGTCCCGATGGTCTTCCTGTCCCCATGGCTATGTTCAGTGTTTCCTCAGCTCGGCAAAGCAGCCGGTACCTGTCTCACATAGATATTCCTCTCTGTCACTGGAGAGTACCTCCAGTCTTCGTCTATTTCTCTCCAGAATAAATGATACCTTGGTCCTGTGCTGCTGTGTAGGGCCATTCCCTTCCCTGAAGTTTCCTCTGAGCTGCTGTATGGTTCTTTATTCCAGCCAGTTTCCAACTCCCCACCTTTCTTTCTGATGTCGTGTTGTGGAGAGCTTCACCCTGCCAACCTGCCTTACCTTCTAAACCTTCCATTGAATGCCACAGTGTGAAAGACATTTTCGTTCCACCCTTTTTTACTAACCGTAGTTCACCTATGTGGCTGAGCTCATTAGTGGCTGGGTGGGCAGAATGGCTGTGTCCCCCTGGTTGTGGGATTGATTAGATGGGATTATGGTTCGCTAGGTGGGGAACAGTTATGGTGGAGGGGGGTGGGATGGGGGAGGAGTTGAAACAGACTGAGTTTCTGGACTGAATCCCACACTGTCACTTAGTAGGTTTATATGGAGCATATGGATGGAGCTTAAGTTTCAACTTTGTTGTCAACAGACTTACAGGGATCTTGATGCTGACAGCCGTGGCAAGCAGAGTCCCCACCATGAGAGGGTAAAAGAGCATGAACCTGTGGCATGGGCACGCTCTGCAGTGGGGCCCGGGGAAGGGGGCCCGGGGAGTTGTCCCCTCCCCCCGCTTTTGCACATTTGTCACCTGGCCAAGGGCCAGAATTGCTAGCAGTGTCCACTCACGCAAACAGCTTTCACTGACAGCACTCATCTGCCTAGCATTGGACTGGA